TTTTAATTTCTCTTTCAGATAGTTTGTTGTTAGTGAAGAGAAATGCGACTGATTTCTATACGTTGATTTTGTATCCTGCTGCTTTACCAAATTCATTTATTAGTTCTAATGGTTTTTTTCTTTCTTAGTGGAATCTTTAGAGTTTTTTTGATTTGAAGTTCATGTCATCTCTCACTAATAAGACCCATCTCATTTCCTCCGGTTCTGCTTTAATTTAATTCACTCATTTATACATGCTTATTTAACATTTCCAATGTGACATGCAGTAAGCACACCAAGGATAAAGTGGGGGACATGACAGCCATACATCAGCTGATGTCTTCCTACTTCAAAAAATCCATTTCCTAGGGCCATCTTGTCTCGTATCCTGAGGCAAAATTCTCAATTTCCTTATCTGATGAAATTTATATTAAGCCAGCTTCCCAAATCTAATGGCTAAGTGATAACTTCCTTGCTCCCAAATTGCATCTTCATGAGGCTTCATTCTGAGCCATCACCGCCGTACAGAGCTAACAATCAACTAGTTCACACTGGCACAGACGTCCTGGTTGTTGGATACTGAGATACACCAAAATGCTGCTTTCAGGCCCTAAGTGGAATCCAAAAACTATAATGCAAAATGAATGTGTTTGAGGGGTGGGTGAGGGGAAGTCTTACTTGGAAGTTAATGGAAAATGATAGTCCACGTGGGTCTGAAGGAATACAAAGGAGCACAAACGTAAAGAAAAGGAAATTACTCTTGTTCACAACTGATCATATTCTGAACGGAGAAAGTCTCATGGTCACCTTTTAAGCCCATCCCATTCCAGGTGAGAATGGGAATTCTAGACATCGATTTGAGAAGGGTAGGGTGGGGACAAGAGACAAACTCCAACACCACCTGTCCCTCCTGCCTCCCCATGATCCAGCAACCAAAAGGCTAATGCTTGGCATAGAAGGTGGCTTTACTAGGACTCCTGGTTCAGTTCTTCTGGGAATACCTATCCCTCCCTGCTTATAGTTTGGGAATCCAGGTTTGGGGAGAGCCAGCCTTCCATCTACCACCTGATCTCTCTCCCTTTTGATTCTCTGTCTCCCTAAACAACTGGACCTTAGCAGGAAGAACGGATCTCATTCCTTTTAGTTTTCAGGGTAAGTTTAGCCATAACTGGCAAGAGTCACCCTTGGGATGGCTCAGCAAGAGGCCACCACATGCTCTCTCTGGACCCAGTGGAATATTTTACTCCAGGCATTCTTGTGAAGAATGCCCTAGGGGATGGTTGGGGCCAATGACAGTTTGGGGCTAGGAGATGCCCAGGATATGAGTTCTAGTTGTCATAATTTTCTATTACATTTAACTCCATTTAATGGATGGAATTTGTTAAAAATCTGCCACCCACTTACCAAGGGAATACTAACAATATTAATTGTATTAAGAAAAATTAGAACTAATATCTATGTAACATTTACCCTATGTCAGGTGTTATTCTTTTTTTTTTTTTAAAGATTTTATTTATTTATTGGACAGAGAGAGAGGGAACAGAAGCAGCGGGAGAAGGAGAGGGAGAGGCAGGCTTCCCGCTGAGCAGGGAGCCCGATGTGGGGCTCAATCCCAGCACCCTGAGATCATGACCTGAGCCGAAGGCAGACGCTTAACGACTGAGCCACCCAGGCGCCCCTGTCAGGTGTTATTCTCATATATCACTCACTGAATTAGAATACTAAGAACCATCACCCCCATTTTACAGTTGAGAAAAATGAGGTAGGAAAACTTACATAAAACTTGAGTGGCAGAGCTATGATTTTAACCTTGGCAACCACCCAGGAGTGTGCCTCCCATTCAGCCTGAAGGACTAGGTATGAACTTATGAAATATGACTTATTAAATATGTCAACTTATCATAAACTATTTTCATAGACCTGTCAAAGTTATTTAAAAAGATTGACACTGTTATAAGACCTAGAAAAATGTTTTAATGTCATTTCTGTCAGTTTAGTAAAAACTTGGAGATAACACAACAGCATCAAAAATAATGGAAAAAGCTTTTTACTTATTGGGACCACAGATCACCCCATGGCTATCAATTTAAAGAGGGAAATCACTGGAAGAAAAATGATATAACTATTGGATATCTGATGAAAAATTTGCTTTTCAAATTTCAATTTGGTATCTAAATGTAAATTTATATACAGCTTAGAGAATAAAAAGGCATTTTTAAAATTAATGATACATGCAATAATTTACGTAAATTTACTTAATTTACTTTAATTGTCATAATCTGGTGCGCCTCATGCGGACCAGACATCTTCCATACTCTATCTTTGATTGGCCTGCTCTGTGGGCTGGGGGTGGGGGTAGTACATTTCTCCTAATGGGAAGCATTATAGCAGAGACTGTACTTAAGCACAGAGCACTTGGCAGTGAAGCTGTGGAAGTGATTTAAGCTCTAATAAATATTAACTTTTGCATGCAGGACTGGCTACAGAATTTGCAGGGCCCAGTGCAAAAGGAAAATTCACGGCCCCTTGTTCCAAAATTATTAAACATTTCAAGATGGTGACAGCAGAGCATTAAACCAAGCACATGGCCCAGCTAAGCATAGAATTTGTGTTACTGCACAGGTCACATACCCAGGAAGCTGACCCCATTTCCATGTTATAAAAATCTGGAACGTTGGGACACATTTTATTAAGAATTGTACTGGCAACAGTGAAGAGAATGAGAGGAGAATGACAAAGAAATGAAAATAAATTTCTGGAAAACAGGAAGTGAATGAAAGCATGCTGACAAATGAAACGGGGGGGGGGGTGCGGAGAATCTGCAGCCCAAAGCAATTTCAAGACAAATATGCAGCAGAATTGCGAATGGACCTTCCAGGCATTATCTGGATCTGGGGCTGGCAGGTGCAGTGCGAGGAGGTATAAGAACTCTATTAGTTGGTGCTTGCAATTCACCATTTCCCTCTGCCAGCAAAATCAGCCTAGTGACTCCATGCAAGCATAAAACTGGGATCTCACCTCTGAAGAAATTTAACCAACAGCCCAGGGAAAATTAATGCTGACCTAGGAGGGAAACAAATACACGTCACAAATAGAAGAGGGAAAAACCACATCGGCTATCTAGAAAAATCAGCTCAGATCTTCATGATCATTTATGAAAAAACAACCAAGAATTACCAGACAGGAAGAATTACAGCAGTACAAATGGGAAGGAACTAGATAAAGTAACAGAAAAGGGCACAAAGAACACAATTCTGTCAACAGAAGAGACATTTAAAAATTGTTATCCTCAGAGATATTTGACCAGTGCACTCATGAAACAAAAGCCTGGTGTGATTAAACAAGAAAGAGGTCTTACAAAGTATTTTTGGTTAATACCCAAAATTGCTCTTTAAAATTTTAATAGAAGTTCTGGAAGATAACACTGAGATATCTCCCAAAACATTAAGTATAAAATACATGAGGAGGGAAAAAAGATAACTAAAGGAAATTGTCCTAGTAGGCTGCCATCTGCCTGACGGATTTCCTGAACATGCTAAATCAGAGAAAATGGCAGGAAAGACACTTCAGAGAAATAACAGAAACAATTTCCAGAGAGGAAGAGAGAAATGAATTTTCAGCTGAAAAAGGGCCAAATGGGTGCAAAACAGATTAAATTTAAAAAGACCCCCAATTGGAAATATTATGGTGATATTTCAGAACATGGTAAATAATTAAAAGATCACAAATGCTTCCCAAGGGAAAACAACAGTTCCCCGCAAAGAAGTGAAGAGAATGACACATTTCTGAGCATCAATATTGGAAGCATAGGTCAGTGGAACTATGCCTTTGAGATCAAAGAGAAACTGATACTGAACCTAAAATTCCATGCTAGGCAAATTATAAAGGTGTGGTCAAAAGGACACATTTTAAAACATACAACTACGACTACTCAGAATTTGTGCCTCCACCGTTTTATAGAGTGGTACCCCAGCAAGATGTATACAAGAAAGGTCAGTTTAAACTCGGGAACCAAGTGAAAGAAACTACAGATCACCTCTCAGCTGGAAGACCAGAAATTATTAGAGTAAGTTAAGAGCAGAAACTTAGTAGCTTTCTAAAGTCTTCAAAACGAATTCATTGATGAGGCGCCTGGGTGACTCAGTCGGTTAAGCAGCTGCCTTCAGCTCAGGTCAAGATCTCAGCCACCAGGCTGGCTCCCTTGCTCTGTGGGGAATCTCTACCTCTCCCCCCTGCTTGTGCGTGCTCTCCTTCTCTCTCTTAAATAAGTAAATAAATAAAATCTTTTTTAAAAAAGAATCCATTGAATTTCAAGCAACAGAAAGGCATGAAAAACTGCATGTTCTTAGAGATAAGGTAAAGAAGTCACAGGAAGAAAAAGAAAAGCAGAAAGTCTAGTTAAAAAAAAAAAACCCCAAACAATGAAGATTGTATAAAAAAATTCATCATTCAATAGAATGCAAACTAAAATATGGCATAATTTTGAGTGCAGTATGAGAAGAGTCCCCTTCACGTGACACAGAGGTCCGTGACTCCCAGCTGGGTGCTGAGGCTACAGATGCGGTTCTTGTACTGGAGAAGCTCATGATTCAGCCAGAGACACGACTGTGGGGACGAGATTCAGGATAGCTACTTCTGAAAATCGAACCACAGTTAAAGAAGCAGGACACAGAGAGACAACTTTTCGCTTTCCCTCTCCCCAAGTTCAGCTACAACCCTTTTACTCCACAGCCCCGCCCCAAACTTTCCCGCTTCCGCCCACAGCTCTCGGCGCTTCGGCCCATGACCTGAGCCTGCGCCAATCCTAGTGCGCTTGCGCCAAGCCCTGTCCTCTCCGAATGGCAAACCCGAGCGCATTCCAGGGGGACGGATCAACCTCGGGGCGGGCGGGGTCTCGAGGCCAGATGACGGATGTGATTGGCCGGCCGCGGGGGTACCCGTTCCTTTGTGGGCGGAGCCTCACCCTCGAGCCACGTCTAGTGAACTGTTCTCCTAATTTGGGAAGGGTCAGGCGCGGGCGGGGCGTGGAGCTGAGCGCCGCAGGGTGTGCGCCTGCGCCGAGCTCCGGGACAGGGCGTGTTCCTCGTTCCGGTCTGCGTTTTGCACTGACCAAGTGCATTTCTTGCCACTGAGGTGCGCCCTGCGGAAACCTGTGCTTCGCTCGCCCAGCCTGTTAGGCGCTGCCCTCCGCGGTGAGTGTGTGCGGCATCGCACTTGGGTTCGCCACTCTGCGCGCCGCCGGAGCGGTATCGGACGCCTCCCAGTCCCCCGCCCCGCCCCGCCCCTTCCCCTCCTCCTCCCTGCACCGGGACCCTGCCCGCTGATGCCCACCTTCCAAGGCTAGGGGAAAACTGGACAGTGCCAGCCCGGGGCGTCTCCCCTTTCGATCCCTGCACCCCTCCCCCCCAGCCGTCGCCCACGTGTTTCGTTGTTGTCGTTTGGTATAGAATATGTCCAAGTCTCTGAAAAAGTTGGTGGAGGAGAGCCGGGAGAAGAACCAGCCGGAAGTGGACATGAGTGACCGGGGCATCTCCAACATGCTGGATGTCAACGGCTTGTGTAAGTTCTGGGGCTGGGCCTTCCCCTTGCAGCACCGGGAGGGTTTTTAAGTTTTCCCAGCAGCTGCTGGCCGCGGTATGAGAGGTTGTAATGATTCACATCGCCACGCCCTGCTTGTAAGCATCACCTGTGGAGAGAGAGCTTGGCTCGGAAAGTTAGCAATCAGCGTACGTTCCGTCCCGACTGGAAGACGAACCTGAGAGTCCAGCGTAAGAATCACAGACGGTTGTGGCTGGACCTCACTGTTGTCTATGCGAATTGTTGGCATTTGGGTGGATTTCCCACATAGTTTACTTAAAACCCACTTTATTTTTAACTGAAAATCACTTTTGAATCATGCCTCCTTTGTCCTCATCTAGCCTCCGACCCTTCAACAATTGCCACACACAAGTTCTGTGATAACTGTTCTTATGCCTGGAGTATGTTAAACCTTTCTTGACTCCTTCCCCTTTTCTGGCTCTTTTTTTCTCCTTAGTTGAGGCGTTTGTTACCTCCTCCTTGTGCTTTGCCTCTTGCCTCCAGTTTTGCTGACCCTGTGGTTTACTCACTGTATTGCTTTCTAGTGTTACTTTTCTGCAACATATCTTACCGAGTAACTCTCTCCTTTAAACCAGAGATTGCAGCTTCAGATGTCTTTTGGGGCCAAGGTCAGGGTGGTCATGAACTTCATAAAAGGTATCCTGTCGGAAGAGGGACAGCTGCTACATCTGCTACTCACATCCAAACAGTTGTCACCACTTGGGGATGTTGGCCTAGTGTTGTCATAGTTGTTGTTGTTAAGAAGACAAGAGGCCAGATTTTGACATGAAATTCCCTAATTCTTAGACGTTGGCAACTAATTCCGATATTTGAAACGTACTTTATAGGTGAAATAAAACACGTCTTCAGGCTGACTGTGGCTTCAGTTTGGACCTTCTTCCTTAAACGCTTCTGGTTCTTCATTACCAACAGTAATGCCCCAAGTTCTTTGGCGTGACATGCAAAGCCTTTCTGAATGTGACCCAAACCTACCTTAGTTCCTATCCCTTCCATGCCTTTGTCGTCCCCGCCATGCTGAACAAATTGCCCTCCTTGAACCAGGACACACTCTTTCAGGTCCTTGTGCCTTAGAAGTATTGTATCCTTCTCTTCCCCCTAGATCCTCGCACTTACCTGTCAGGAGTCAGCCCAGATGCCATAGCCTGTGTGAAGCCTTCTGTGTCAGTGTCAAGCTAACGGTCATTCCCTCCTCTGTGAAGGTGGATATGCCTTGCTTCCTGGCTATTGTTATACGAGATTGTGATGTGTTCTTAATCTAAATGTCTCTCGTCCACATCGGAGAGCGGGGCGAATATTGCTGTGCATTACTCGTATTTGCCTTCTTTATAGTGCCTGGAACACAGTAGGTGCTCCAGAATGTTGGATGGATGAAGGAAGGCCTCATGGATTAGACCTGAGGTTTGATGAGATCCAGACCAGGATGTGACATTGGAGAAGGAGGGGAGAAGTCCAGGAGACCCTAAAAGATGCATTGCTTGTTAGGCATGGAGAGAGCAGAGTCAGATTTACTGTGAGCCCATGGTTTGTGCCCAGGATAGGTTGGGGTCGGGGCTCTTGATACATCTCTGCTAAAGGACAGGGGATGGGAAGTCATAGACAGCCTGCATTTGGTAACTCTCAGGAAGATTCCTGCCACTGAGCTTTAGCTTTTGGACTCATTAGCATCTTAGCCTCTTGAGATGAGTTGGCCTCTCTCAAGTGGTGATGGCTTCTTGGTGACAGCAACAGAGCCGCTGTGTCTGGGACTGAACTGGCCATGGCAGATCTGGATGTGTGCTTGCACTGCCCCTTCCCAGCTCTGCCTAGGTCGTGGTGAGCATGGGGGGCTCTGCTGTAATAAAGGATGGTGAGCACAAGCAGGAGGCCCGGCTCCGCTGTACTTTTGGCCCCATGGCTCTCTGTTCCTCAGCACTGCAGGGGAACTTTATAGCCCTTGGCTGTGAAGAGGATTCTTTATGTAATATTTATAAGTAGGGAGAGCAGCAAAGCTATTTTGGTTCACTTGCATTATCTCTTTGAAGCCTTGCCTTGTACTGAAGAAAAAAAGATAGCCACTTGCTTCCTGAAAAAGATGTTTCCGGTGTAATATTAGGTGGTGAAAAGCAAGATCTTTCTTCTGTTCTCCCAGAGAAGTAGCTTGAGGAAGAACAAGGCTGCTTCTTGGGGAGTTCGGTGGAAGAGAATTTGGAGATTCGACCTCTCCAGCCTCTGTGGTGTGTGTAGACCCAAAGAGTGGCTGCCTTCTGCCGAAACTCCCTGACCTCTGGACTCGTGGAGCCTGGAAGTTTCCAGGATACCTTCCGAGGCCCATTCCTCAGCTGGGGCTCATTTATTGGTGGTGCACATAATGCTTTCTGGATATATTTGAATATCTTATATATTAAAATATTTGACATGGTTGCATAAACTATAGCGTAAGAATTCCCTTATTTCTTTACTAGTAAAGTTTTAACTGTATTCATGAGGTTTTGTGTCTTACTATGAAGATTAAACACAAGGAACAGTTCACTCGCATGGACAGAGAATGGTTATTGTGTCTCAAGCTTTTCCTTCCTTATCCTTACTTTGTTGAGTTTCTCAAAAGGTAAGAATTAAGTTTTGAAAATAAGAATGGGAGTTTTGTTCTTACTCTAAGCACATGAATTGTCTTTTTGCTTGGGAGAATTGTATCATATAAATGCAGCACTTTACTTCCTTGGAGACAGTAAAGGGCCTTGAAAAGATGTTTTCAGCAGTTCAGGTACCAAAAGCTTTATGATGGGAAAAACTTCATAGGCTGGAGACAGACATCAGACAGATTCTACAGTTTTCCGTCAAGCTGGATTCTCGATGTGGTCAGATCCCTCTCTGAGAGGCAGCGCTTACGAGCGGGGCCTTGGAGTTGCATAGGCTGGACTCAGATTCTCCATCTTGTGCGTAGTGCCATGTAACTTCGGAGAAGCTGCTTAACCTTTCTGAGCCTCGAGTCCTCTTCATCACATGGAAATGTAGGTTTGCACTTGTTAGGACTGGATCAGCGCTTAAGGGCACTGAAGCATGTCCAGCGCTTAGCGCCAACCTCGTACTGAGTGAGCACGTACTGAATGTTAACTCTGATAGGAACATCCAGATAGAGCCGGGGAAGCCTCAGATGTAACCAGTTCCAACACAGCCCATGGACTGGACCAAGGAGAGCGTGGCTAATGAGTCTGGGTCAGGCCTTTGTGTACTATGTTGATGTTTTCTCTGGTGGCTTAATAGATCCTGGAACGTTTGGCGCTTTTGCCCAGGATTCTTAAAGATTTAGATTGCTGTTCCTTTGAAATTACCCCTTCATTTTATTTTCCTTCCTATTTTTTTCCTCCCACACGGCATGAAATCTGCACACCCGTTCTCCTTAACGCTTCTAAGAGTAATGGTTGCAATTTTGTTCTCTTTATTGAAGAGATCTCACGGAGGAACTCGGCCACAATGCGGCTGTCCTCACCTGGGTGATAAAGCTGCTTTTGAAGGCTCCTGTAATCAGCTTCCGTGGGAGCAGAGAATCCCATTAGTAGCCAGGGAGACTTTTTTCATTTCTTTTATTTAAATCTTTTGTGACTTTTTTTCCCCTCTCTTCAAGTTTATTGCCCTCTAGATGGTCAAACCTTTATCAGGTTTTTTCCCCCCTAGGTTAGACTAAAATATTTTTCAGATAATTATAAAAAGAAAAATAACCTGCCTTCGAGGCAGTCGTCTTGCTAAAGAACCATGCAAAATAATCAACAAACGTAATCACGGGTTTTTCTGGAAGGGCTGTTTCAAAAGCCCTGTTAAACCTGGAAGTGGTCACCCTGTTAGGAGTTTTTATCAATGCAGGCTGTCTCTGAGGAAAAAGAAAGGAGCTGAGAAGACCATGTCATGTTAGCTGTGATCTTTAGTAAGACCTTTCCTTTTTTTTTTTTTTTTCCTAAGTTGCTCAGATATGCCCATCTTTGTATTTTTCAACCTGCGGGATCTTGGCCTGGGAAGCCCTTTTCCCTTTCCTCCCCAGCCAGCCTCCTCCACCCTTTGGCAGTTAGGACTTGCTGAAGGGAGGAATGACCTGTCCATCCACATGGCCCCAGTCTTGGGTCACCTCCTCTGAGAAGCTCCCCAGGTGTTCATTTTAACCCACCGTCCCATCAGCCTGGTTTCAGGAGCTCTTCTGGGCCTGGTGTGCACTTGTCCAGTGCTTGGAGAAAGTTCACTGACAAAGGATTGCTCTCAGTTAAGAGTTGGGGTGAGCTAGGCTAGAAAGCGTAGCAGAGAAGGAACACATCCTCGGAGTGCCCTTCGCAGACCCTGCCCCGACTCTCCAGAGGGCGGGCCTGTTCCAACCGGCAGGAGCAAGATACAGACTGCTCGCGGTTCTATTTTTGATTTCAGGACAGTGTAAACACTGAAAATGTCTCCGCCAGACAGGAAATAAATTATGAATAATTGGGACCCCTTTTGGCGTGACTGAACTAATAACGAGCTTTTACTCTTTTTCAGTCTTTTGACATTTCAGCCGTGATAGGACATGTCAGTCATGGCCTCTTTTTTGGTAAACAGCCTTTTATGCCCCCTAGTTGTGTAACCTTGGGCAAGTCGCTTAACTTCGCAGTGCTTCACGCATCTATAAAATGGGAATAGTAAAATTAGTAGACTTGTCGAATTGCCGTGAGTTGTCATCTGTCAAGTGGCTAGTATGGAATCTGGCCTGTCTCAGTCTGCTTGGGCTCCTGTAGCAGGACCAAGGCCGGGTGGCTGACAAGCCACAGAAATTTATTTCTTAACATTTCTGGAGGCTGGAAGTCCAAGACCAAGGCACCGGCAGGTTCCGTATTTGATGAGGATTTACTTCCTGGCTCATAGACCGCTGTGTCCTCAGTGTCCTAGGGTGAAAGGGGTAAGGGACCCCTCTCAGGTGTCTTTTATAAGGACACTAATCCCATTCCCGAGGGCTCCGCCCTTATGAC